TTTAGCTCCCTGAATCTCAGTATTTAATCAAGGTTTCCACCAGAGAAAGGTAAACAGCTTTAAAAGAAAGGAACAATCTTAAACTGATTAAAATCAGTGCAATTTTGATAGGAAAAAGCATCTTTATATAACAAATTGAAGGTTTAACTCCTGATCACCTGATTCCTGGGCCTGAGTCAAAGGTTTGTCTCTCCACATCAGTTGAAAAAAAAATAAAATAAAAAATCCTGAATCTATTTCAATCAAATTATTTGTGTTCCAGACAAGGCTCATCACTGAGCTGAGCATTTTTTTCTTAAACAATCAAAATCACCCTAAGTGGAATCTCCTCTGGCTTTGTGTACAGACAGGACCAAAAATGTACCAAATGAAAGCTGAAGCTTTGAATGCCAGGGAAGCAGTCAAAGTGCTCTTTTGCCCCCTAAAAAAGGCTTTTCTGAATGCCCTGAGGTGTCTCCCCCAGCCCCAGCTCAGCTTTGGGTTTTCCTACCCCCACCCCAAGGAATGAGCAGCCTCTGGTGACCCCACTGAGGTGTGATCCCACCGAGGTGTGACCTCTCTTCTCCCCTTCCAGGCTCCTGCTTTGCTCAGAATTCAGCAGAAAAAGCTTTAATCCCAGTTGTGTTCCCACATGCTGAGGGAACCACTGAGTTGTTTTGGGATGTGCTTCCCCAAGCAAGTTGGGCTTGGAATGGAAGCCTGGGCAGCCTGGGCCTGTTTCACCTGGTTTGAAATCTGAGGGCACAGATTTCTCCCAGTTTTTTTACACCTCTGTGCATAGGTGTATATACATAGAATTTCTTACATTTTCCATAATTATAAGCATATTTTCCCCAGTTCTTGCAGATATTCTGGGCACTGGCACAGGGTGCCCAGAGCAGCTGTGGTGCCCCTGGATCCCTGGAAGTGCCCAAGGCCAGGCTGGACAGGGTTGGAGCACCCTGGGATAGTGGAAGGTGTCCCTGCCATGGCAGGGGTGGCACTGGGTGGGCTTGAAGGTCCCTTCCATGCAAGCCACCCCAGGATTCTGAGATGGGTGCCTATCTATGTATATACATGGATTTCCCCCAATTTACATATGTAATTTATGTATAAATTCCACCTGCCCAGCCACATTGCTATGTTACAGTGACACAAGTGCAGGTGACACTAAATCCAACACCGAAACCTCTCCACTTCCCCAGCCAAAGAAACTGCTGCCACCTGACTCATGCAGTGAAATGCAGGGATGGAGCACACGGGCAGCACTTAGGGCAGGAGGAAGGGACAGGGGGAATGTGATCTTCCTGAGGACCACCAGGAGCCCCTGGGGCAGTCTGAGATCCCCCTGGGTGAATTCCTGCTCCATCAGTACCAGAGACAACAATCCAGGGTAAGGCCCAGAACTAAGGAAGATGAATCCAGGGCACACTAATGATTAAAATTGGCTGACAGGTCCCAAAGCGCAATGGAAAATATAAAATTATCCTCAGGCAAGTGATTTTCTGCTGGAGTTCTGCAGGGATTGCTTTTGACTGCTCTTTTAACTCCCCCTTCCCTCCAGGAATCCTGGAAGGAACCCAAAGGCTGTGGCTCAGCCCATGTGGGGATCAGGGAACAGAAAGCACTGGAGAGCAGGGCAGTGACTCCCTGATCCCAAGGCGTGAGCAGCCAGGCAGGACAAACCCCCAGGCAGCAGGATGGGCCTTGGGCACTGTCCCTGGGGACACCTGAGCACCCCCAGGGCTCAGATCACCCCCATGGGAGGACCCCACACAGGTGGGAGGCACAGCATGGTGAGAGCACAGGGAGGTGACCACAGCTGGGTCATCCCAGAAAATCCTCAGTGCCCTGCACTGATCACTCCAGACATCTTCTAGAGCCCGAGGGGCCATGAGGATGTACAATGGAAAGGGAAAATATAATCCTTCCCTTCTACACCCACCCCCTCTCCTCCAAGAGCTCCTCAGGACCCTTTCCCTGAGCCCCAGCACTGGCAGGGAGGCTGTGCCCACACCCAGAGCTCCCAGGAGCTGCTCCCTGCCTTGGCACACCAAGGACGAGGGCACCGAGCTCTGATCTGCTGCACAGCACCTTTGCTTCCTGCTGGGCACCAAGGGCAGAAACATGACCCAGATTTCACACACCTGCTCCTGCAAGGCACCACTGGAGCCTCCCAGCTGCTCCAGGCACTCACTGGATCCCAGATCTCCTGAGGTCTGGCAGGAGATGCCCATCCCTGGTGTGGAGACAGCCATGAAATTCCCAGGGGAGCTCACACTGCTTTGCAGGCAGACATGAACTTTCTGTGGCCACTACATCAACACCTCATCCAGCTTTCCATAATTTCTATTGGGAATTCAGCTGCATTGTAAAAAACCCCAAATCCAGCTGACTCAGTAGGAGCGTGACTTGAACTCCTGTTAACTCCACTAAAAATGTTACAGCTCACAACAGCCTCGTGTTAGTTTTCCCCTGTATAAACACTTATTTGTGAACCACATTCTCAAAGTAAGACAATTCCTACCAGGAATAACTTTTCAAAGACACAGCTTCATGAAGATTTCATGGGTGATGCAAAGAAATGTGAACTCAGGCAAAACATTCCCAAATGTGAAGCCTTTGTGCCCAAAAGCAGCTGCAGAATGCAGCATTGAGAGATGTCACCTCTATAATTGCTCTAAAATGTCCAAGCTATTTCTTGCTGAAAATGTCCAAAATTTCCAAACAGACATGTGAGCATTGAAGTTCCCAGTTCAAAGAGTTTGGAATTAAAAAAAACCCAAACAACCAAAAGTATTGGAATGAGAAGGTTTGGGTGGCCTCAGCTCAGGTGACACCAGCAACCTCCTCTTCCCCTTTCCTACACCACAGAATGGCACTGAACCCACATGATTTTATTACACACACAGTTAAAGGATCATTACCTACCACCACCCACACAGCCACAGGTGCCTGTGACACCTCAGCCCTGCTAAAAGCTCCCAGCAGGGATTCAGGATGGGGGCTGAGATGGCTGGAAATTGCTTTTAATGTTCAGAAAGAGCCCCAGAACCCACAGGAGCTGCTCCCACACCCCGGGTGGAGCTAAACTCTGAAACCCCACCATGGGTGGGATCTTCCAAGCAACTGAACTTTTAGGCTTGAGATTTTCCTGCTGGCTCCAGCCTTAGCTCACAGCAAGCACCTCCTCGGGCAGGGCAGAGAAACCCGACCCAGCTAATCCCAGATAATGAGGAATTCCCCCAGTGCCTCTGCAGCACAGGGTCAGCTAATCCCATTCATTGACAGGAGTTTTTGATGCTAGGAAAATGGAAAGTGATGGAAAACACAAATACATTCCTGAATGTTTTGATTTACAGATATTGCTTTGAAGAGGGAAACTATTACATTTATATATTTGGGAAACTAAATGTAAGTTGTCTTGTGCATTGCCCTTCATCCAGGAACTTTTAATGGATGTTGGAGAAAAATGGGCTTCTACAACAGCTCTCCCATTTACCCAGCTGTGCTGAAATTTGTCATTCCAGCACTAAAATAATGCTAATATTGTGTTAAGTGGAGCTGATCAGCACATAAATGTATTTAACTGCCATTCTCCTACAGACAGTGATTAGATTAAACCAAATTATTTTTAAAGGTAGAAATGTCGTTGTTAAAATCAGTGTAAGAAGCTGGAAATCAGCAGTTTCCACCCTTAGGAGAATGGTGCAATGTTTCAGGCTGATGGTCACAACATCCTTTGTTAAAATGAAGCACCTCTGCCTGGGCTGAATGGGGAACAGGTGACACAAGGGCTGGTGCTTGGGGGACCCATCTGAGCAAAAGTAAAAGCAATTTTGGATAATTGGACACTGGGCACAGGAGCTGGAGTGGCACCAACAGTGCCACAGCCTGTTCTCACAGCAGAGACCTGGCAAGGCCCTGAGGAGCATCAGCCACATGAAGGTGATGCTGGATGGAAGAACTCCAGGGACTTCCAGGATTCCCAAACAAAGTGCATTGCTTTACAGAATCTCCTGAGCCTGCAAGAGCAGCTGCCTTAGACATGAAATGATATTTAGGTAAAAGCAAAACTAGAGAATGTTTTCTGTTGCTTTGCAGCACCAAATTTCTCCAAACAAGTTATGCCAATGCTGAGAATCCATTTCCAGTGGACACAGCCCCTGCCCAAAGAAGCAGGGCCAGTCCTGAACTTCACACCAGGGTGGTGAGAGGGGGCTGGACCAGCACAGTGTTCTTGAATTCATGGAAAAATACCCAGGGAACTAAAGAGACCAATATTCCCTCTCGTTTTCCTGCTACTCACAGCTCTGTTTGAAGATTTACCTATAAAGGCTCCACTCTGTCAGTTCTGTGGAGCTTGTGAACAGCAAGCCAAGGCTGCACATGCTGAGCAGCATCATTCCTTTTGGGAATCTCCTCTAGAGGAGCCAGGGAACAACACAAAGATCTGCTCTCCACACCCTGTTTCTCCCTGGAGTTCCTTCTGTGCCTGGGGCTGGTGTGAGCAGCCTGGAATTCACTCCTGGGATCCAGGTGACTCCTGCTGCTCCAGGAGCTCAATCCCATATACCCCTGTACCAAACCACCAGCTTTGGCTCAGGGATTTACAAGACAGACAGACTTCAGGGAGCAGAGATGACATTGCACAGCAATGATTTATTGCTCAAGCAATAAATCACCTGCTGGTGATTTATGGTACTGGAGCAGGGGTCAATCTGAGCAAAGAAAAGCTCCATCTTAATTTTAATCATGAAGAGTTTGGCTGCAGGAAGCCCTTGGGAGCCATTGTGACACCTTCAGTGATATTTGTCCCCCAAACACCTGTGGCTGTCAAACACATACAGGGAAGGCAGAAGAGGCAACAAAGAGTTGTAGGCAAAAAGTGTGTCCCAAAAATGCCAGGAAGAAAGGTCACTGTGGCATTGCATGACTGCAGTGAAGTGCCACAGCTCCAGAGATCCAGGGATGATCTCCACTCTGGAATGGTGTCCAGCAGCCCCAGCCCCAGCACTGACCTCTTGAAGTGACTGGCCAGGACTCCCACGAGCTCCCCGATCCTGCTGTCGTTGGAGGGGTCATTGCTGAAGAGACAAACGATGAGATCCTTGTTGTCTTTGGTGTGGAACACCACGAGCTGGTCCTTCCCATTGGAGACACTCAGCCCCACCAGCTGAGGAGAGAAAGGGAGAACAGTGTTGGCTGTGCTGATGTAAAAATGCTGATGCCCCACCCCTGGAAGTCTCCGAAGGCCAGGCTGGATGGAGCTTGGAGAAGCCTGGGACAGTGGAAGGTGTCCCTGCCACGTCAGGGGTGGCACTGGATGGGCTTTAAGGTGCTTCCAACCCAAGCTATTCCATGATTCCATGATTGGCTGTGCCTTTGCCACTGCCAGGCTGGTTCTGTCACTGCTGTGCCCCTCTCCCTCCCCAGGGCCACCCCCCAAGGATGGCACCAGCTGCTCTCCCCACAGTCCCAGGTAAAAGCTCTCCCCAAAACCTCCCCTGGCTGACACCACTGAATCCCACACTCATCAGGAGCCTGCCCAACAGCCTCTCCAAAGGTATCTGATGGCCTCAGGGGAGGGTCAGGTGGGATACTGGGAGAATTCCTTCACTGAAAGGAGTGTCCAGCCCTGGCACATCCTTGGAAGTGTCCAAAAAAAGTGTGGATGTGGCACTGGAGGATGTGGAGTGGTGATGCTGCTGCTGGACTTGATGGTTTTAAAGGTCTTTTTCAACCTGAACAACTCTGTGCCACTGTGATTTGCAGGTAATAAGAATTTAGGAAGAATTTGAGTCACAAACCCTGCAAAGCCACAAGGATTCCCGTGTTTAGGCATGGATTGGGGTCTGCCTCTTCTGACCAAGTAAAAAGGTGCAAGGGTATGCTTTGGGTATTTTATTTTCTGGCATTTTCTTTTTGTCTGTTAAGTAATTGCACTTGGCTCATCAAAAGCTTTGTCATCATCTCACAAATGAAAAACAGGGAATTTTTAGGAGGGGCAATCTGGGAGCACAGGTTACTCAGATGAATATTAGAGAAAGCAAAAAAAAGGATCTGTGTTGGGAAAACAATGTGTAAGGAGGGCAAAAAAAGCCTCAAAAGGCAAGTACAGCAGAGCAGAGAAAGGAAAATAGAATAAAATAAATAGAATATAATAAATCGGATAAAATACATAGAATATAATACATGGGAAAAATAAAATAAAATAAATAAAATAAAAATAAAATAAAATAATAAAATAATAAGAAAGGTAAAAGGCTGATGAGTACAGAGAGCAGCTCTGGATGCCTCAGCCAGTCCAGAAAAGCCCAGCCCAGCCACAGCAGCGTGCTCTGTGCCCTGTTTTCAGGATCAGACTCCATACAAGGTCCAGCCCCTGGGATTTTGTGGGTTTGTTACCCCAGGAATGAAGGACAGCAGCTGCTGATCCTGGAACCCCAGGCAGGGCCCTCCTGCTACCAGTTGCACCAGCACAGGTGGAGTTTATTCCATGTTCAGGCTATTTTGGGGTTATGAAATGCTTTCCCAACAAGCTCCACCTCATGCAAAGGCATTGACAGCTGCCTGGCTTTATAGTGTCCCTTAAAATTAATTTGCATGCTTAAATACCCTCCTGTGAGCACAATAGCACCACAGGGACCGCTGCCATCAAGGTTTTAAATGTGCAGCGAGTGTGAAAGATGAACAAGTCGCAGTGTTGGATTTGAAAAGGCAATTTAAACATTAATTATTCAACAGAACCCTGTTAGGAGGCCAAGAGCCCTTCAAAATCTTCCCATTTCACCCCTCCCCACAAGACTGTGAGTGAATAAATGCAACACAAAAGAAATCATTTCAGAGAAGGTGCTTATCTCAGTATTTACCAACACTAATATTGGCCCTGCTTGAAGAGCAGGAAAAATCCTCAGCTTCTGCAGAACATCCTTTATTATGTTCACCACTGCAGGGGAGATGTGACTGCTGGAGTCTTTCTGCTGCTTGGGTGCCTTTTAATTTCTCTCAGCCATTACCTGTTTGGTTTTAATTCAGGTAAAAACAAGAAGGTCACAGTGTATTGGTACTCTGAGGTGATGCCAGAGTGCTGGCAGATGAAAAATCCACCCAGAGAATCCCCCAAGGCAGCATCTCCACATGGAGAAACCAGCAGGGCTGGCAGGGAAGCTGCTGTTTGTCAGGCTGTGTAGAGAATGGCACATTCCTCACCCAGAGCCATGGGATGGTTTGTGTTGGAAGGGACCTGAAGGATCACCCAGTGCCACCCCTGCCATGGCAGGGACACCTTCCTCTGTCCCAGGCTGCTCCCACCCCAGTGTCCAACCTGGCCCTGGGCACTGCCAGGGATCCAGGAGCACCACAGCTGCTCTGGGCACCTGTGCCAGGTACTGCCACCCTCACTGTAAAAAAATCCTTCCTTCCATCTAAGACAAATCAAACCTGGTTTAATTCCCTGCCCTTCCCCTGTGCCAGTGCAGAGCCTGGCATTGTGCAGGGACAGGAGAGACTCCACCATGGCCAGGCAAAGCTGGCTCTGGGAGATGGGGAGCGATTTCCTGGGCTGAAAACAAGTTTGTGTGTGTAGCAGCCATCAGCTGACTGTCTCCAATGAGATCTCCATGGAAACACCACCCCTGAGGATGCTGCTGTGTTGACAGGGCACTTCTGAAACACTGACAGGGAGCAGCAGAGGATTCCAGGATTCCAGCCTGGTTCATCTCTGTGCATGGGAAGGACAATCCCTCTTCCCAGAGAACACTCATCAAATGTAGGACAGGGCTGCTCCATGGATACACATCACCACTGGTGTCATTATTGTCCATTTGCTCCTCAAAAAACCTTCAGAGCATTTCAAACCATTGCTTTTGTTCCAAAAAGGAAGGAATTTCTGTATCACTGATCAGCTCCATCCACTGCCTCCTTCACATGGTGGAAGGGCTTCCATGAAAGGAGGGATCAGGCACAGAAAAATGGGGAGAGTTTGCAGGGCAACAGAGGGGTGGAAAAACAACACAAATATAAACATTAGGTAACAAATATGAAACATAACTACAACAAAGAACAAACAACTGTTCGAAAGGATTGACTGTTTGTCAGAGTTAAATCTGAGAAATCCTGGCAAGAGAAATACAAATGGAGTGGCTTTGAATTGGAAGGAAGTAGGTTTAGATTGGATATTAGGAAAAAATTCTTCCCTGGGAGAGTAGGGAGGCCCTGGCACAGGTGCCCAGAGCAGCTGTGGCTGCTCCTGGACCCCTGGCAGTGCCCAAGGCCAGGCTGGACAGGGCTTGGAGCAGCCTGGGACAGTGGAAGGTGTCCCTGTCCCTGCCATGGCAGAGGTGGCACTGGATGGGCTTTAAGGTCCCTTCCAACCCAAATTCAATTCCATTATTCTAGGAAATATTTTGTGTCCTGTGTATAAATCAAAGGCACCCCAAATTCTCCTCCTCTCCCCTTCCTGCCGCTCAGGGGGCTCTGGATCCATCAGCAGGACCAGTGCCCAGCCCAGGCCCGGAGCAGTGCGGGCAGGGCTGGGGCTCTTCCCCAGGACACAGGGCAGGAGGAGCAGGTACAGGGAGAGGCTGTGGCCAACAGAGCTGCAATTTTACACCACAGAATCCACCAAAGCTTGGTTTAATCAAATTTCCACCCTGGAACATTACCTTGACAACCTGTATGGGTCAGCAGAGGACCTCCTGGACCCATCCCTCCTGTGCCAAACACTCCGGGATCCCTGGAATCTCAAGGACTCCTGTTCAGGTCAAAGAAACTGTCTGGCCAAGATTCCCTGTGGTAGGTTACTGAAGGGAATAACTGCAGATCTACTACTAAAACTGATTTATAGCTGCAGAAATGTGAGAATTCTCAGATCAAGAGACCTACCTGCACACACCATTAACTGCTCTTGTTCTGAGGAACTGCAAATCAGCCACATGACCAACACAGAGCCAAAATATACCAATATTGAACCAAAATACAGTCAAAAATTCAACACAGAGCCAAAAATACAACCAACACTGAGCCAAAATAGCCAACACAGGACCACCACAGAGCCTGCAATAGTGCTCTCTGTAAGAATGGATATTTTATTTTAGATACATCTTTTATTAGTGAAAAACAACATTTACTGACATTTCTTAGTAGCAGATATTCTATGAGTAACCTGAAATTATACCTGACTTGCTTAGCTCTAATGTTTATGGCATTAAAGATTCCAGAGGGAAATGTTCAGGTGACCAACAAATGATCTGGTCTTGTGCTGCTGTAAATGTACAGTCTGCACCTTTACACCCATCAGGCACACAGGTAAAACAGACATTGTTCTAAACCTTGATAAGCACAGATTTATCTCTCATTATTCCTTCACTCAGTGAATTTCAGTGACCCAGACCCTCTGGTTAAGGTAAGGGTGGAGAAACCAATAGTGAGAAATCCTGATGGACAAAATCCTGCCATGTCTACATTACTAAAGAACATCTGTCTGGGAACACCTGGAAAATCAGGTGTGGAAAACCCCTCTGCTAAAAGGCTGTGAGTGTGGGGGTGTCTGAGCTCTGCTGGGAGGCTGGGGGTGTCTGCACTCTGGTTTTACCAGGCTGGGGGTGTCTGCACTCTGGTTTTACCAGGCTGGGGGTGTCTGCACTCTGGTTTTACCAGGCTGGGGGTGTCTGCACTCTGGTTTTCACCAGGCTGGGGGTGTCTGCACTCTGGTTTTACCAGGCTGGGGGTGTCTGCACTCTGGTTTTACCAGGCTGGGGGTGTCTGCACTCTGGTTTTACCAGGCTGGGGGTGTTTGCACCCTGGTTTTACCAGGCTGGGGGTGTTTGCACCCTGGTTTACACAGGCACACAGCCCCTCAGAGCATGGAGACACCAGTGCTGGGACAGCACAGCAGCCAGGAAAACAGCTGCTCAGGGCACCTTCCTTTCAAAACAAGAGGCACTGCCATGGAGACACTGCCTGCTGCAGCCAGGATTCCTACTGGGAGTAGCTACTCCATGGATACGCTGTGCTGGGTGCCCAGCTGAGGCTGATGCCCAGCAAGGAGGGCAGGAGACTCTAAACCCAACATTACGGATGCAGCCAGAGCTAATCATCCCCTCCTCATCTGCAGATGAGATTTCAGCCTCACCCTAATCCCATCCCTGCCCTCCCAGCAATACAGAAATGCCAGGTTTGTCACTTCTCCAAATGCAGACATCACAGCAAATCCGTGCAGGGCAGTTCCCAGCAGCCAGGCAGGCTCTGGAGGCTGCAGATAACCACAGCACTGTCACCTCGGGCTCAGGGGGCTCAGCTGAATCCCTGCTCCAGGATGCTGGGGAGCAAAGATGAGGTGCTGCCCACCCCCTCCATCCCTGATAATCCACTGCCTGGCAGCTCCACCCTGCTACCCTCAAGGCCAGACCTCACAGTAATTCCGAGTTTAGCTTTGAGAAGATTTACATTAAACATGAACAAATATAAGAAAATAAAAATAAATAAATTCAAGCACAACCTGAAGGATCAAACAAACCCTCAGAGACACAGGAATAGTGCCATAAGCTGCTGTGAAATGCCAACCCCTGCCAGGGCTAGGATCCTGCACACAGCAAAGCAAACAAACAGGGAGGGACTAGAGGAGTGTAAGAGGCAGTTTGGGGTTCAGCTTTTATTTTATGAACCAAAATTAAAAGCTAATATGATCATAGAATTATAGAATCATGGAATATCCTGACTTAGAAGGGACCCACCAGGATCATCCAGTCCAACTCCTGGTCCTGCCCAGAGCACCCCAACAATCCCACCCTGATGCTTTGGTGTTGCAATAACTGCACTATGGCTGTTATAAACACATTAAATATATTAGAAACTGCAGCTCAAGGACTTTTTCCATTTTATAGATATGAAAATGGAACTACAGAGTAAAGACACTGCCCTGAAAGAGCCCAGATGAGGATCCCCAGTGCTGTACTCACGTTGTAGAGGGGGATGGTCTTCATCACCTTGTACTGCTTCATGGGGTCCATCTTGTACAGGTGTCTGTCAGTGATGAAAATGGCCCTGTCCTCCACCTTGTTAAAGCGATTCACCTGCACAGAAACACCTTGTCAATCCCACTGATCACTGCAGAAACACAGGAAACGAAACTGTGCAGTGCTAAGTGCCAAACTCACACAAAAATGCCCCAAACTTACACAACAGTACCCCAAACTTGTACAAAAATACCCCAAAGTCACACAACAAACAGCCTAAACTCACCAACAGCCAAAACTCACACAAAAGTACTCCAAACTCACACAAAAATATCCCAAACTCACACAGCTCCTAAAGAGGTTTTCTCCTTGGACCTTGGGCCACTGAAAAGGGAACATGGTCCCTGTAATCCCATTATACAGAGACAGAGGAACAACATTCCCAGTCATCCAGCAGAGCTGTGGCACCTGGGAAATTCCAGGGCTTCACTCAAACCAAGGCCAGATCTTATCCCAAGCTCTCCTGGAGCCACTTTAGGGTCTGGAAGGGGCTCTGAGCTCTCCCTGGAGCTTCTCCTCTCCAGGTGAGCACCCCCAGCAGCTCCACCTCAGGCTGTTGAATGCCCCTCAGCTCTAAACACTAACCAGGCAGGATGCAAAGGTTTGTTGGAAGTGCCTAAAAAAGTAGGACAAAAAGTAGAAATTGTTTTTCACCGAGGCAAAACCAGAGTCATCGGTGTATCACAGTCACTGAGATATTTATTAATCAACTGAGAAGGGCAGACAAGGGTAAGATGTGACGAGGAGGATGAACATAAATAGGATTTTCCGGGGTGAAATCAGGAGACAACGGGAGAACTTAAATATCCTCAGTCAGGAGGCAGCAGAGTGATAAAGTTCAGAGCAGATAAAGGCAAAAAATGCAAATTGGGGAGCTCTGTGACAGCTTTACATTAACAGCACTGACTCAGAAAAAGCAACCAAGGATGATTTCAGACAGCTCTGGAGAGATCTTGGCACAATGATATGAGGCAGCTCAGAAAAAGCAGAATGTTGGCACAGGCAAGGAATAACATGGGAATAATGTCCCGGGAGCCACGGGCTCACCTGGAACAGCCTGTGAAGGACCAGGGTAGTGATTGTGAAGGAGACTCTGGTGCTTCAGAGAAGCTGAAGAACATGATTGAGGGCCTGGGAAGTCTCACAGGAAGAGATGCTGAGTAACCAGGATTATTTTAGGAAGCAGATGAATGGGAGAAAAAAGCCTAAAGGCTATGAAACACTGAATGGCCCTGAGAAAGTAGGTCAGGAGTGCCTGGTGCCACATGTTGGGTGCTGGAGCACCGGTTCCTCAGCCAGGAACTGGGGAAGCTCTGGGCTCTCCACACTCCAGGTCATGGGAGCTGAACCAAAGTCCAGTCCCTGGGGCTGGATCTGCCCCTCAGAGCCCAGATCAGTGCTGGGGGCATTGATTTACTGTGATTTGTTTGCAGAATCTGACACAGTGAGCACTCCCTGGGCACTGCCAGGACCCTGCCTGGCTGCTGTCCACACCCACCCGCAGCGACAAAGGGAGCAGACTTCTGGTGCTGTGACACCAGAGCCACCCCAGGGCAGGAAGTCCTGTGGCTGCTGCCAGGGAAGCAGAGATGGGAGGCACACTCAGCTTTCACAGTCAGAAAGGCTGGAAAATGAAGCCTAATTGCTCCTCCAGCGCTGCCAAGGCTGCCACTGATCCTGGCCCCAGGTGCCACATGCCCCAGGGATGGGAACTTCACCCCTGCCCTGAGCAGCTGTGCCAATGCCTGACCACTCTTTCTGTGAAGACATTTTCCCTAATATCCAGTCAAACCTCCCCTGGCCCAGCCTGGGGCCATTCCCTCTCCTCCTGTCCCTGTTCCTGGAGCAGAGCCCGACCCCTCGGCTGTCCCCTCCTGTCAGGAGCTGTGCAGAGCCACAAGGTCCCCCCTGAGCCTCCTTTGCTCCAGGCTCAGCCCCTTCCCAGCTCCCTCAGCCTCTTCTGGGGCTCCAGCCCCTCCCCAGCTCTGCTCCCTGCCCTGGACACGCTCCAGCCCCTCAGTTCCTTCTTATCATGAGGTGCCCAGAACCAACCCCAGGACTGGACGAGCCCCAGCAGTGCCAGCTCAGGGGACAGCCACTGCCCTGCTCCTGCTGCCACCCTATTGCTGATCCAAGCCAGGTGTCCTTGGCCTCTGGCAACCTGGACTCACCTTCAGCCCCTGCTGACCAGCATCCCAAAGGTGTATTCCAAGCCAGTGGAATATTGTGGGAGTTCAACAGGCATGTTTTGAATCCCACTACTTTCTCATGGCTCCCCGCTGGTTTTAGTATTAAAATTCAGCTAAAGAAATGTACCAAAGGAGAGCCCCAGCAGCTCATCTCACCTGAGGAGCAAATTCTCATGTCATTCCAGCTTTTTCCAAGCAAAAGAGGCTCCAGGTGCCTCATGCATTTGTGTAAATAATACCTGCTGTGGGTTAAAGTAAAAACTGTCCCACTGGGGAGCAGGCATAGAAGAGACTCATACACCAGTGCAAATTCCACTACTGGGCTTGTAGGAGTAAGGACAGGCCTTCTGTTCTCAGCTACAGCTCATTCCCTCACGGAGAACAGCCCTTCCCAGCACCGTGTTCTCTGCACCTTCTGGGCATTCTGTATTTATATCTTGTTGATCCAAATGTGAATCAGTCCTGATTTAGCTTCCTGACAAACCTGTAGGGGAAATGAAGATCTGGCCTAGAGCTGAAAAATCTTCAATGAAGTTTTTCAGGTCTGTGTCAGTGGCCTCTGGACACTGCAGGGCAGCAGCCTTTGAAAGAGATGATCCTGTCAATGGAGCTTGGTGCCACAAGTGACAAGGGAAAAGTGAAAAGAAAAGCCTTATTCTAAAGAAAATAAAGAGAGAGAGATGTTTCCTAGGTGATCCAATAAAATCTGGAGATTTGCATGAAATATGCATTTGTTTTCTCCTAAGGCAAAAATCTTGAAAATTTCCTTTGAAAAACTGAAGAGCACCACAATGCTCAGAAAAGGTGGATTTTTCCATAGGCAGGAATGACCTGCTTCTACCTGTACCTACTGCAGGGAAGCAAGCACACAGTCTATTCCCCTCCCCCAGCAAGGCTTCAAAGCCTCTTCACAGCCCTCCTGTAGAAACTGCTCCAACACCCCATTATTATTCAGCTCAAGCTGCTGAAATCGGGCCCCCACACAGGCAATGAAAACTTTACCAGCAGCTCAAAACTTGGAGAGCAGTTCTTGGAATAAATTGACTTCTTAGACTTAGAAACACAAAATTATTGAGATTGGAAAAGCCCTCTCAGTCCATTAAGTCCAACCTGTGCCAAATCCTCACCTTGTCACCAGCCCAGAGCACTGAGTGCCATGTCCAGGTGCTCCTTGGGCACCTGCAGGGATGGGGACTCCAACACCTCCCTGGGCAGCCTCTTCTAATGCCTGACCACCCTTTCCACGAAAAAGTTCTTCCTGATCTAGAATCTTCTAGAATTCAGAAGAATTCATTAGATCAATTAAGAATTCTGAAGAATTAGATCCTGAAGAATTCATTATCTCAATGTTAGTAATCAGCTAAAGAAATTCTATCTCAACGAATTTAATGAACCAATGTCTGACAGGTCACAGGGTGTGCTCTACTCATAAATGTGTTTAAATAGGTGAGCTCTGGGCTTGACCTCTGTCTGCTCAAGTTGTCCAGTATTTTTGCTTTTAATCTGTTTTCTGTGCAAAGAAGGAAGTGCATTAGCTGGAACATTTCCAAGAGCTGACACCTGACATTGCTGTTGACAGCTAACTACTACTTCACATGTGGTTTGTGACTCAGTACCTGAAGGAAGCCACAGAGGAAGGCTGATGATGCTTCAGATATAAAGCATTCAGCCCAGCTCACCAAAGTGCCCTTTAACACCTTCCCTATAACACCTTCTTCCCTCAGGGAAGAGCAGGAGCAGCAGCTTTTGCTCAAGAATCCTCAAATAAGCTGAATCATGAAAACACAGCACGGGTGAACTTGAGCAGCCTTTTTTTTTGTGAATTGCTGCTTTGTTCAGGAGAATTATTTAAGGGAAGCAATGAAATCACCTGATAATTACAATTTTATTTCCGTAATTCACTCTGCAGGCCCCTGTTAAAGTTTCACATGAGCCAATTTTCAGCAGAGAACAAACACAACCTGCAAACCCACAGGAACCAGGTTTAATATGAGAGATGAGACAAATCTGCCCTGAGCACTGGGCCAGGCTGCATGTGCCAGCACTAAGTGCTACCTTGGGCCAATAAGGTTTGGTAATGTGGGAAATGGATTTATAGGTAATATTTGTTTTATATATATATATATATATATATATATATATATATACACCTTCATACATATATATGTATACACAATATAAAATATATATAATATACAAATTATACATATACATATATGAAGGTGCATATATCTATATCTATATCTATATCTATATCTATATCTATATCTATGCCTTCATAAAACTAAAAATAAAATAAAAATTTTTAAAACACCTCTCAGTTACTCCATCTCTAAACCAAAAAAGCCCATAACCCAACAGGTAGGACATGGGGAAGTCAAGGCTAAAGAGAAGAAACCTGATAATTTATTTGTTAAAACTTCAAAGGGAAGAATGCAGCAATGAGGAGAGATTCCCCTGCCCCAGCAAGAAGTTACAAGATAATTTAAAACCCACACGGCTGCAAGTCTATAACCCTGCAATATTTGTGATTTCGGTTGAGCTGCCCTTTTAATGCACCCGCAGCCAGCTAAAGCTTTGCCTCTGAGAGCACTGAAAGACTTTCAGGCTCAGGAGAAACCCACTTTATGGTGGTTAACACCTATTCCATCCCCATTCTGCTTCTACTATTGAAGTGCTGGCATCTCAATGCAATAAACTCACAAAAACTGGATTTTTCCAGCACAGTCACAGTACAGAAACACGGCCTGTTGGAATGCTCAGGGATTCCTCCATACACCAAAACCAACAAATGCTGCTCTGACACTTATCTGAAGGCAGGAGCTCTGTCCTGGCAGTTAGGGAACAGGATAAAGTGTGGATCTGTGCTTCAGGAATCTGCTTTGCCCTGTGTTTGCACAGGGGATTATCCTTGAGAGCTGAACCAGGAGCAAGAGGAACACGAGGACTTAAAGGCTGGAGAGCTGCATAACAGTGAGCAAGATAAAACTCCCACGCTGTGTCCATCACACACAGACCCCAGTGATTCCCTCACCATCAGTCCATTCTCACCCAAACCCACAATTCCCATCATCACATCTCTAACAATTGAATATTGTCCTTTCTACAGTTATCCCAATTTAGCCAGAAACTGCAACTGGAATCAGTTCATTAAATGAGTCAGAAGAGGAATTATTTTGTTTTCAGCCTAACCTGAAAAAAGCCAGGGGGAATTCTGCATTTCTCTGTCCCTCAGAGAGGTTCAGCCCAAGTGCTGTGAGGTTGTAAAGAGGAAATTTGGATTCAGACTGGCCTGCTTCTCCTTTAGTCCTGTGAGCCCCATCCTCACAGCAAACGTGGTCACAGCTACACAAAACTCCACTGAGATATTTTTGCTCAGAAAGCAATTACAGATTTCTATTTTTATGAACATGAATCACTGTTGAATAAACAATATAACTCACTACCACTGGCAAAGTTTTATTATAAAGTGAGATTTTGTGCTGCAGAATAAATTGTCTAGATCTGCAGAATCATAAGGAATAACTTTGCACGTGGGGACCAACTGCAGTATTTACAAATAAAAAGAATATACAGCTTCTTAAAAACACCTGAACATCCACAGTGCTGGCCTGCCACTAAAATTGAGTTTGTCTGTTGGCTTTGTAAAATTTAAAATATCCTTTCCTGACAGATCTTTTAAACCAGCATCATTAGGAGCTACCCACAACAATTAAGCAAGTCTGTTTTTTTAATTAGCTATTTAAACCTTCCAACCAAGTTAAAAAAACCCCTAAATTCTGCTATAAAAATGTCAGACCCAAACCAGTTATGCAGAATGAAGAGATTTTCTCATGAAATCATGGAATGGTTTGGGTTGAAGGGTTCTGAAAGACCATTCAGGTCCAACACTCTGCACGAGCAGGGACTCAACAATTTATTTGTGCCTCTGATGTGATGAGGCCCCCAGCAGCCACCCAAGTGTGCTCCACCCAAAAATCCCCGATGCAGCTCCTGGGAAGTCTCTGAACTGCTGTCCCAGCACCTCAGGGTCACCTTACCTTGCGCACGTGGCAGGAGAAGAGGATGTTCATGTACTTGTCCTTGCGCTTCAGCTCGTTGGCCACAGGGGTGAAGGAGCCTGAGCTCTGGGGGCTGTCTGGTTTCTGGAAGAGCAGAGACAGGCTCAGGACCCTTCTTGGGCTGAAGGAAGTGGGGCTGGCAGTGCCACGGCTAGGACATGGCTCCCTCCACCCTTCTGTGCTTTGGGAAACCAAACCTTGACACACCAAAATGCTCCAAGGAAGGATGGAGTAAAGGAAAGCAATCAAACCTTTCCATTCTATCCAGCATTTTAGTCTCCCAGTGAAGCCTGGCTCTGCCCCTTTGCAGAGACAGCTGATGGCACTGATTAGCACTGCTGGTGCTGCTCAGGATTGACAAAAATCACTCCTAGTGCAGTGGAAGTCAAGGCTTTGAAGCCATATAAACAGGAAATTTCTAACTACTTGTCCTCCCAAGGAACCAACGCTCACTTTCCCGAATTCGGCTCCTCCAGCACGCTGAGCCCAGGTCCCCATCACTCACCAGTGCGATGTAGTTCCCCTGCCAGGCTCTCTGGAGGCCAATGTCAGCCCTGTGGCCCTTCAGCAGCTCCATGGCAGCGACCTTGGCCCTCAGCTGAGGCAGCGCTTCTGGGGGCACGCTCCGGATGAGCTCGGCTGCTCTCCACCTGCCACCAAAGCAGGGTCTGGGTCAGCCCCCAGCCCCCCTCACCTGCACCTCGCCCTGCTGCAGGACACCCCCAGAATCCTGCCCAGGCATTCCTAAAGCTGCAAAGGTCAGTTCATGTTTTAAAGCCATGTCTCACCTCCAACCCTGCAGGTCTGGGTGCCACACTCCCCATCCCACACCCACAAGTCAACCACAGTGCATCTGTTTGCAATCAACTGTTGTCAAGTCCATTTCTGGGCTTGTTTACAGCATCATTCTCCTCTAACAGCTGAATTTGGCCCCTCAGTTCCAACTGCATCATGGAACAGGGCAGGGTGGCCCATGCATTGCCCCACATCACACCCCAGCCTTCAGCAGCAGCAGTAGAACTCCAGGGTTAAGTCTATAAAAAGGCTTTTTAGCAGCTAAAATTCTGTAGTTCTGATAACTGAGCTAATTCTGAAAGCAGGACTCTCTCCCCAGACAGGCTGTGGGTGGATGAATGTCTCTCCTGAAAGAGACAGCTGGAGAAAATAACAAAGCTTGACTTGATCTAGAGGTGCTGGAACTGCCCTGCAAGCTGATGGCTGGACAGGAGGTCTCTAAAAGCCCCTCCAGCCAACATTTCTCCTATTCAGCCACTTTCAGAAGTCATCATTTCTCAAACTGGAATTGTAACTAGTTTGCCTACAGCTTTTCAGAGAAAAAAATCACCAGCTTTTAGATACTGTGAGGTTTAATGAAGGTACAAACACCTGTTCTGCACACAGAACATGGGTGACAAGGGGAACATCATTCATTCTACTGCAGAAAAACACTAGGTTACTACAAGAAATCTTGAGGAAATCCAGAAAATTCTTTTTCTCCTCCCCCTCATCCAAGAGCAGCTGCTCTTTCTTTTCAAAACCAACCAGAAAGGCCAGAAAGGGGCCAAGGAAGGAAACACAATGTTTATCACAGTGGAACAACCTGCCCATGGCACAGGGTGGAACTGGATGGGCTTTAACATCCTAACCATCCTGTGATTCAACAATAAATCTTTGGATCAGAATTATCTGCCTGGTCAAGGGCACAAAGCCAGCAACACTCAAATCATGTCTTTCAGCCAGATTGATGCCTTGAGAAGGCTGCCCTAGGACAGAGACTGGAGGAGTTAAAGAATAAAGTAGGGATTTATTAGGAGGCCTCAATGGATCCACTTTGGGCAGCACAAGAGCCCAACCAGGGCTACATCCCAGGTGAACCAAAATGGTCACAAAATACCCCACAGGTCACGGGGTCTCACACTTTTGTAAGCTCTGCTCCATTTGCTTATTGGAGTTGTCCAATTCCAGCTTTAGCCCATGGAGTCCCATCCTTGTTTTTCTCTCTCCAGCCTGTCGGAACTCAAAATGTCCCTCAGACATTTTCAGAGGTTCCAGGCCTTGGTCAGAAGCATTTTAGACCCTGGCAAGCAGCTGAAAACAGCTGTGATCTTGAGTTTGAACCATGGAATGAATTACCAACTTTGAAGGTGGAATAAGCAGTCACAGAGGGTTAGATGGTATAGTAAAAGTAGTCACAAATTAGAGGGAAAAATTTTTTAGTATTGTACAGGGGGTTTTTAACACCTGTACAGGGGGGTTTGACTTTGTACAGGGGGGTCAGGAGTTCTAAGATGGAGGAAAGTGGGCCTGAACCTGTTCTTCCTCCTTCTTCTTCCTTACCTCCATGTTCTTGGTGATGTTGGCATTTAGGCTGGGGACACACTGTTCAACGTAGATGATAGATATTGGCACGTTATTGTAAATATAGTACACGTAATTTCTGGTATATAATGTTTGTACCATCCCACTGAGGGGCAGAGCCCCACACGCTGCCCTGCAGGACAGAGCTGCGGCAGGGCAGCAGAACATGTTAGAGATAAGCAAAAATAAACAACCTTGAAACCAGCACAGACCAATTATGGCTTCTTCTTTGGCAACGGGGCAGAAAGACAGAGACTTTCTACAATCTCGGAATCACCAATACCCACAGATTCCGACACCAGCCCACGTCGTTTGTGCTCTTGGGGCTGAGATCTGGATCATTTGTCCTTGGTCCCCAGCTGAAGAAGGAATTGTTTTGCCTCCCTGCTCTGTGAACAGAACTCACCATCCCCTAACACGAAGCCCAGACCACACACCAAAGCAGCACAGAGCCTGAAAAATATAAAAGCTAAAACCCGTGGCAGCAGGGGCCGTACCTGTGGAAGATGTCCTGCAGAGCCTCCTGGAAGCGGAGCAGCACCTTGGGCGGGGCGGGCCAGGGGACGCCGCGGCCGCGGTCGGGCAGCAGCCGCACGTCGCGGAAGCGCCGCAGGACCTCGCGCAGGTAGGAGCGCACCTTGTGGCGCCGGTAGTGCCGCACGATGCTCAGCGCCGCCCGCGTCCGCCGGTAGCGCAGCCGGGCCAGCGTGCCCCTCCACACCTGCCGGGGACACACAGCAGCACAATCCTTGTCATTCCAGACTAACTGGACTGCACACAGTTATAATTCTATTTCATGGAAGGGACGCCCCAGTGCCAACCAAATTCAGGTAGAACATGACTGTGAAACACCGTGTTTATGACTGAGATCTCCACATGAGAAAGGCATGGAGCAGAGGAGGCCACGGAAATGATTAAACTGCTGCTCTGGCTCCCCTCTGCTCTGGGAGAGCTGAGGGTGCTCACCTGGAGAGGAGAAGCTCCAGGGAGAGCTCAGAGCCCCTGGCAGGCTTCAGTCCCCAGGGGTGTGTTGGGTTGTTCTCAGAATCCCAGAGTGGTTCGGGTTGGAAGGGACAGTCAAAACCATCCAGTCCCACCCCTGGCCCTGGGAAGGGACACCTTCCACTAGAAGGGATCTTCAGCCTGGAGAAGGGGAGGTTCCAGGGAGAGCTCAGAGCCCCTGCCAGGCACTAAAGGGGCTCCAGGAGAGCTGGAAAGGGAATGGGGACAAGGCCTGGAGGGACAGACACAGGGAATGGCTCCCACTGCCAGAGGGCAGGGCTGGATGGGAGATTGGGCAGGAATTGTTCCCTGGCAGAGTAGGGAGGCCCTGGCACAGGGTGCCCAGAGCAGCTGTGGCTGCCCCTGGATCCCTGGAAGTGTCTAAGGCCAGGCTGGACAGGGCTTGGAGCAGCCTGGGACAATGGAAGGTGTTCCTACCTGTGGCAGAGGGTGGCACTGGATGAACTTTAAAGTTCCTTCCAACCCAAGTCATTCCATGATTCTGTGCTAATTGAGAACAATTATTGAGAAACAATTCAAACTCTGATTAAAGAAAAAATTGCTCTGAAGATAGCCTGGGGAATATCTATTCTGGTCATGTGTGGAAAAACAAACAAATATGCAAATGAAAGATATTCCCCAAACTTCTGGGATGGGAAGCTTCTCCAGTGTCACTGTGAGTTGTGTTTTGCCTGGAGAGCAGCACAAACAGAACACACAGCAGCTCCTGGGCTTTTCCTGGCACCCCCTGCCAGAGGACACGCTGGGAAGTGATTCTGGAAGGCTGCTCCAGTGCTGACCTGAGTGTGACAGTGACAGTGCACAGCACCAGCTCCCAAGGAGGAGCCCCAGGCAGGTGAAGGGGGCAGGTGCTGCTGCCATCCTGTAAGCAGAGGAACTGGCATTCCCTGGCATTCCCCAGGGATCCTTCCCCACCTGTACTCACCCTCCAGCACAACCCACCAAATAGAAGTATATTTTTTCCTTTCAGAATTTAACTGGAAGGATAACGAGCCTCCCTGCTCACCACACTCCTGTCAGAGACTTTCCTTCCCTCTGAGAAAGATCCCACAGCACTGCTGGTGCACATCAAGCCTTCTATTTACAGAAGGATTAATTAACTACCCAAGGCTGTTTTCCACATGATAGTTGCTTTGTGAAGCTGATGTCAGAGGCTCTCCTGGCAGCTTCACTGACAATCCTGCCATGCAGCCCAGAAAAGCTCATGCAGCAACCAGCGCAGAGCTGCAAGGGGCTGCTCCTCTCTAGACATCCCAAGTTTAAAGAGAAACTCAGAGATTTTGGGTCCCAAACCCTTCAAAAGCAGACAACTCTCTTCTTTCAACCTCTGTCAGAGTTCTCTCTCCTTGTTTTACTTTGGCCTCACTGTCCCTGTGGGGGACATCTCCCATTCCCTACAGACACAGCCCATGGAGCTCTGGCTGAGCCTGGACAGTTCTTGAGCACCCAGCACTTTATGGAGCACCAAACTCATCAGTGGAGAGCATTTCTGCTCTCATATAGCACAACAGACACCAGACCCTGCACAATCTTGCCCACATAGAATCACAGCATTATAGAATGATTTGGATTGGGAAAGACCTGAAAGATCCTCCAGTTCCACCCCTGCCATGACAGGGACACCTCCCACTGTCCCAGGCTGCTCCAAGCCCTGTCCAGCCTGGCCTTGGGCACTGCCAGGGATCCAGGGTGGGCACCCTGTGCCAGGGCCTGCCCACCCTGCTAGGGAACAATTCCTGCCCAATATCCCGTCCAGCCCTGCCCTCTGGCAGTGGGAGCCATTCCCTGTGTCCGTCCCTCCATCCCTTGTCCCCATTCCCTTTCCAGCTCTCCTGGAGCCCCTTTAGTGCCTGGCAGGAGCTCTGAGCTCTCCCTGGAACCTCCCCTTCTCCAGGCTGAAGATCCCTTCTAGTGGAAGATGTCCCTGCCCAGGGCCAGGGGTGGGACTGGATGGTTTTGACTGTCCCTTCCAACCCGAACCACTCTGGGATTCTGAGAACAACCCAACACACCCCTGGGGACTGAAGGCAATGAGCTCCAGACCAGCCTGAGCCCCTGCCAGGGCTGCTCTCCAGGGAGGGTGTGGGAAAAGAGAGCATTTCAGTGGCTGAGGGAAGAGCTGGGGAAGCAAGGCAGGAATGGGACAGTGAAGGGAAAGGCAAGGGCAGGAAGCACAAAAGCCACAGCAGAAACCAGCAGCGCTGGACTGAGCACGCAAACCAAACCCAGGGAGCTGGGACTGAGAATCTCATCCCTGTGTGCAGATGAAATAATAAACAACATGTTCCTCATTTCTTCCTTTTGAAGCCATTAGACAGAGAGGAGGCAGCACCCCCTGCACACGTGCTGTGCTCAGCAGTCACTGCTACCACACTGGGTTACCACTGTGGTTTTAGCTCAGATCTGGTGCAGCTTCAGCCACGCAAAGGCCCTCAGAGCTGCTGGCAAGCTCAAGGCTCAAAGCTTCCTGGCTAAACCAGGCTTGCACAAGGCCTGGATTTCACCCAAAATGTGTAAGGCTGGATTAAAGCTGACATTTCCCTGTCTGAGGGCAGAGCAGGCTCTGAAACTCTGAATTTGACAGAATCGCCAGCTAGGATTTAAAATCTAAGCACCCAAAGAGTACTGGGGAATTTTTTTTAAAGAAAAGCAAAGAAGATTTGGATTGCTTGAGATAGTTAAGTATAAACTGAAGAGGCAGAAAATGTACCTGTAAGGGTTGGGTGGACAACAAACAAAATCAACTGGGCAAAACCCTACTGCCAATTTCTCATTTTTGAATTTAGTAAGAACAGAAATGAGGAACAAAGGGCTCCAGGCCACAGTGAAACACTCCTTGGGTGTTACAGAGGATCTATAGAAAAGAACACACACAGTGAATCTGTGTAAGCTGCTCAAGACTTTGCAGAGCCTCACTTCTGTCAGCTGTTCCCTGGACCATTTGAGAGACAGAACAAGGTCTTGGTTTTGCTTCCTTGGGCTGGAAGCAGACATGCTGTTGAGGGAAGTCTCTCACTGTGATTACTTCTTCCACTAGTCAGACATCCCTGGAACAAAGGCTGGAACAGATTGCCCCAATGTTGTATCAGCTGCATCGCTGCAGAAACTGGCTTCACAGCAAGAGGTGTCACAATTGTAAAAACACTGGCCTCCCAAATCCAATTATCCAGCTCAGGCATGCCCCTGGCTACACACACAGCAAACTATCAATGAAAAGCATGTTCTCAAATCAAGTTGTCATAACTGGAGAACCCCCTGCCAGTGAGGATCTTCCATGGCACCATGGCAGTGCCTCAAAGGTGAGGAAACAGTCAAAGGGAAGGACAAACTTCTCTGAGGGAATGGGGGACAAATATTTTTTAAATGAACTGGTTTTCTGGCTTGGTGGTTTTCTTTTTCATTGCAGGGCTCACTGCAGCTTAGTAATGCTGAGCTGCCACGGTGTCCTGGCTGCCCCATGGAACCTTCCAGAAACATGGAATGGTCAATCCTGGGGACAAGAGGTGTCAAAGCAGAGAACTCCCTGTTGGGCATGTCCTTTGTGTAGCTGTGAGCAGCATGACATAGACCAGACAAACAAGGATCACAGAATCCTGGAATCACAGGATGGTTTGGGTTGGAGGGACCTTAAAAATGATCCAGTTCCAACCCTCTGCCTTTGTTGCCTTGGGAAACCTTCCACGATCCCAGGTGGCTCTGAGCCCCATCCAACCTGTCCTTGGGCACTTCCAGGGATTCAGGGGCAGCCACAGCTTCTCTGGGCACCCTGTGCCAATGCATTTCCAGAACAAGCAGTTTCAGGAGGATGGAGTGTTTCTGCCAACACACACCTTCCTCAGGTTTGATTATTGGGAGAGCTCTACCCAATGCACCTTTTCATTTCTCCCCCACCTCCAATTCGTAACTCGAGAACACTGAACCCTGTAAAATGAAATTAAACACATCGAATTTCCAGAAGGAAGTTTACGCAGCCTGTAACAAATTTTCCTGTTGCAAAGGTACTGCTCTGTTGTGTGTTGGGGGCCAAGGAGGGCCAAACCCCAACAGAAGGCCTTGTGCATCCAGGGTTTTGCTTCTCCCCTTTATGCCTCTGCACCCAAGGTAAGATCCAAGGGATTTTCATGCCCAGTTCCAAAGGGATCCAGCAGATCATCTCTCTGAGACCTGACAGCCACAGGCACCTCAGAATTTCCACTTCAATCCAGCCACATCTCAGCCAGCTGGGGGCATCAGAACATGCATCCTTACAGCCAGAGTAAACCAGCCTGGGATGGCAGAGCCCTGTGCCATCCCTCCCACAAGCAAGAATAAATCCATACTTCCCTTTCCCCCCTCCTGTGGCTTTCCCTGCTGGTTAACCTGATTTCCCATGGGAATGAGACTGAAGATCACCCTGTCCCTGCCTGACCTCCTGAGATTGCCCTGACAGCTCCCGAATCTCGAGCCAGCTCCCAGCCAAGCTGACAGAGGAGCAGGAGCCTCCACGAGGCAGAGCTCCTTTATCTTTCAAGAAAAATCAGCTGCAGGGCAGAAGGAGCCTGAAATCAGAGTGACATTGCTGGAACGGCTTCAGCTGCAGTTCCAGAGCCATCTGCCTCCCCAGATCCCAAATCCCAACCAGCAGACACGGAGCCACCGACTGCCAGCCAAGCACCACAGGCAGAGGAGCCCAGGAGGGTCTGGCAGCATCCCAGAGGG